ACCTTATATTAACTTTGACTGTTTGTCTCAAAATTGACTTTTCAGAACTATACTCAGTTATATCTTCGTCTACACCTCCCGGTTGGACCCAGAGCAATGTGAGTGCAGGCCAACAGTGGAATGAGGAAGGGGGACAATTGAGCTCGGGCACAGTCTGGGGAACTGGGCCTCAGTGTGCCCTGCTTGAGGAATGTGCAAGGGTAAAACGATCCCAACTGCATTACATTGAGTTGTCAGGGGTGGGTCCAGAATGGAGGCCAGGTGCCACCCTAAAAATCCTTAACTGGCTATATGCCCTGTCAGAGGTGGGACTTATGTTAAAACCAACGATTAGTTGTTGTTTTTTGTGCAAAGGATACCAGTAGTTTTCTCTATATATCAATGTAGGATATTTCCTTTATTTAATTTTTACTTTGAATTGTAAAAATAAAACTTTTTGCACATCTGATGGGAAAATAATGCACGCTGTCTTACTTGCAATGAACTAACTGGCAATGTGTCGGGACCAAAACTTTGCCAGTTAGACAGTTTGCAGGAGTTTGCACACATTTTTAAGTACTTTAAATTGTGACTTTGAACCATCGAATCGTCTTTTTGTGTCATTAAAAAATGTAGCTGCCATTACCTTCTGTTATACAAGTAGATCTGACTGGTGAGGTTAGAAAGGGTTAATCATTGATATTTATTTGTGTCAGTTTGTGCACAGTAAGTGACTGATCCCAGTCAAATAAAAACTGGACACGCCCCTGCCAGTTGTGTTCATCTGACTTTGAGAAATTAGTACGATTTCAGTCGGACTAAGATGCATGCTTAGTCTGACTAATACAATAAATAAACACACACACACACACACACACACACACACACACACGCACACATACACACACAGCCTAAAGTCAGCTACTGTATATGTGATCATGAGACTGTCAGTATGTTGTAACCATAATAACAGAAAACGTGCTGCTTAATGCCAACCAGATACTGCATCCTAAAAATAAACAAATGGATGTTTTTGCACTCATTTTGTTTCCAACAGGTGACCAATTACTATGCTGTTGTGCTGTGCAGAGCTCAGGTCCATTAGAAGAGAAAGCACCACCGAAAAAGGGCTAAATTGCTTTAAAGATTTCAAGAAGGACACTCAGATTCAGCGTGAGTCATTGACTAATTTTCTCTCTACAGGACTCTGCAACCCAGTTTTCTGTCTATTCCTGCAAAAGGAGTTTTTATTTAAACACGTCTGTGTAATTCTTGACAGCCTTACATCTGCTAAAAAAATATAGCCTCCCCCCGAATTGATTGTCTGGTTTTAAATCATCCTGTGTGAGAAATCACAGGCTGTTCATCCATACCCTGAATGTAAAATTGTCACGCATACAATCCATTCAAGTCTGACTGCGTTCCTCTTGCAGATGTAATCAAACAGTACCTTGAAAAACATGTCATTAGAGTAGGACGTGAATCAATACACTCAGGGGTTGATTACTGTTTCCACTCTGCGTCTACTTTTGCTCCATTTCTTCTGCAGGTGAACAAAAACATTGAAATTTCCTCCAACCTATTTTATTGTTAGACATGAAAAGACATGAAAAGACATGAATTACCTCACTGTGCCCTACATATTTTCAAAATTGTTCAGCATGGCATAAAAGCAGCCATTAATCCAAAACTAATACGTGAGGCTGACATGAAAACACGACATTAGTGACACAGAACATTAGAAAGACATTTGTACAAACCCTTCTTCTGGGAAAAGTGGTCGTAGAGGCCTTGCAGGAATCCATTAATAATTCAGTCCCAGATATCGCATATTTGACCTCGACAAAAAATTCATTCCCCCGTGTTCACCCAAGTTTGAAAAGGAGATGAGAAAAGGAACATAAAAGAAGGTTGGGGGGGGGAATGACAAAAAGAAGCATTAGTATGAGAAACAGGAGGTCTCACTCCTCCGCATCCTTTCCCTTTAATCACGTGCTGATTGACAGTAACCTTCACTTTAAAGAGAGAAACGGGAATGTAAGATGTGAAGCATCTCAGCAATTAAGAGTAGTATGCATCCATTATCTAAATTGCAATAATGTGTGTTATGATCGTACTGTATCAATGAATTTGAGTTACATCTTCTTTTGTGAAGTGAATTGAATTTGAATGCTTACATCTGTCCCTGACAATCCTTGAGCTTTTCAATACCCTGAACTGGGACTGTAATCTCCCACACAAGCATAAAATATATTCAGGGCTTTGAAAATAACTGGCTCTCTTGTATCTTCAATATTCAGTTCGATAGCCATTGACATTTTTCTGTATCATTAATGGTTGAATAATCCACTCACATAGCTCATATACAGTGGTCTATGCGGCATTGCAAAGTGCATGTGCATTTTGGGGGAAAGTAAAATGCATCCTGTGCCCTCAGTGGGTTGCGTTTAGCAGCAGCAGAACATTAAAATGTTGATTTTCACATCACTGCAATCATTAGTATTAGTTTTGCATAATTTTCTGGCTGTTCAATCAATTATGGCGGTCTCTGATCAACAGCCCGCGCCTGCAGGTACACTGGTGGGTTTGTCTGGAAAATAATGCCGAGTGATTAGAGGAGGTGCACTTTGTAGGAAAATGAAACAACAGTTTTACACTCAGCGTGCAGTCTGTGAAAAAAATAAATAAAATCACATTCGCCCTAAAAAATGACAATCAAGCTGTTAGTCTTGCTGAAACCTGGACATCTTGGGCTTTTGCCATTGTGGCCATGACAACCATTGTGATGTAGGACATGTAATGACATATCCAGAGGATTGTATCACAATGGACACAAAGGAAATCCATTTGCTACATCGAACTACTAGAATAAGAGTATTTCCTATTCCATTGTGTGAGATAGGCTGCATAATCCATCGTCAGTTGTGATAAGGAGCTGTTGTGATGGATTTCTGTCAGCTCTTTTTTCTCTTCTTTTGTCGCTGATATTAGCTCCACTGTCTGTCTACGATGGGGCTGCTGATGGTATATCTGTACATCCAGTGTTATCTGAAGTTCACTGTTTATTTCTATGTCAAAAAAGTAGTTTATTTCACATACAATACATTGGATTATCTATCCCTCTGGATTGTTGTTATTGGGTGTATGTATTTTACTGTATTCCAACTCTTAGGCCCCAACTCAAGAATCTGTACACATGGGACTGGACTTTAGTACGAAACGTGTTTTGGTTTCAGTATGTAGTATTTGTGACGTCAGAATTGGTCAATCTAGCATCAGCAGGCTTTGCTGCTTGTTGGGAAAAAGGCAGTTTGGACAGAAAAAGCAGCAACACATCGTCCAAGTGGCACCTTCTGGATTAGAAAAATGAAGCCAAAGCAGATGTGCAAAACAGGGCAGTTCCTCAAGTGTTAACTTGAGGCTGGCTGCAAAAGCCCACGAAGTTCCATTGACGGCCGTGTTGAAAAATAATCATGTTTACAGCCTGGTTCAAAGAACAGTTTTTGGTCTGAATAGCTTAGTGTCTGTATTTGGTGAGTTCTTTTAATACTCATCTGTTGTGATTATATTAAGGCTAAAAGTTAAGCATATTTAGGGGCGTGGCTGATCTGTCTGACTGCTGGGCACATTGTACAGTGGTTGTTTATCAGCAGTTTTAAGGGGCCCGTCTCAGCTTGGCCTCTGCTACACCTCACCACTCAACAGACGAGCAGTTTAGCATTTTGAAAGTTGTTTTCTTTCCTCATGAAGACAGAGGTTTGCATTCTTACTTTTTTACAAACTGCATCAGGATATTGATATTTTGGCAAACTTCACATCTGTAATGGTGAATCACAAGAAAGTCCGTATCTTTTCAGTTTTTATTTAATTTTACATACTTTATTTATCTCCATGGGGAAGTTCTGGTTTTACACTCCTGAGTTACAGTACACACATGCACAAACATGACCCGTGGACATGCTTTAATGGAGAGATGTCCGAGTGGCGCTGCTACAGATTGCTACACAGGGAGCTGTTGGGGGGGGGGTTAAGTGCCTTGCTTCAGATCACCTCAGAAGTACTCAGGAAGTGATCTGACACCTCTCCAGCAACCAGACCAACTTCCACACTTTGGTCCGCACCGGGCCTTGAACCGGTGATCCTTCGGTTCCCAACCCCACAGACTAAGCTACGCTGCTTACTTACTGTAAGCCAAAGTGAAGCCTTTGTGTAACTTACTATTTGTAGAACACAAAGCTTTGTTACAGCGCTTCTGCTGAATCTCATTCTGAACAAGTCTGTTTCTGCAGTGGGTAGTTCATCTCGTGCAGTGATGCCTGACCCTTGCCTGCACACATTAAAAATATTTTTGAAGACAATCTTCTTCCTGATTGTCTTGTGTGCTTTTCTAGCTCATAAAGAGACATCAGTACTGGTTTATAAAAATCAGTCTGTTTTTCATTCCATTCCCCCTGCTGTGCTAGCAAGCTCTTAAAAGCCCTTTAATTCTCTGTAGTATAAAAAACAACTTTAATCAGCGACCAGCAGGAACTCTCACCTCTTTTTTTGTTAAACCCTTTTATTAACTAACTAATAAACCAGCCAATGAATGAGCCTTGAGCATGAAATGTTTAACTTTATAACTTTGATAGCTTATCCACCCACTACACCCATCATCAGTGGGATGTTTTTTTTCCATTATAACTATCTTTTCTTGTCTTGTTTTTCTATCCTGTAAACCACTGACCTGAACAGCTCATCTGATGAAGTGCACTGCAGATGGAGAAACAAAGAACTGTTTCTCAAAAAAAATACAATTAAAAAAAAATAAAGCACATTCTTGAACTCAATTACTTATTCAAGTGCCAGTATATTTTTCTAACAGTCCATGGCTGTATACTGTACACTGTATACTTCAAACAAGGGCTGTGCTCACTTTCATATACTGTTTTTAGCACACTCATCATGGATTAGTACCCCTAAACAACCCCTCTATATGTTTGAAGAGACCAGTATCTCTTTGGCAAGAAAGAAACGTTCAATCTTTTTCAATACATTTTATTAGAAACAAAAGACAAAATATACAATATTCACATTAAAATTCTTGTTACAGACGGATGTTAATTCCACCGTAGATTTAATTTCAGACAACAGAAACATGAATCCCTTGTCTATTGTTGCAAACAAATGAGTAGAAAAACATGACATGTTAACATCAAGGAATACAATGAAATGTTATAAACAAAAGACTTTTAGCTGCATTCTAAAAAAAACCTCTTTAATTAAATCCACCCACCTCCGCCCGCTCACGGGTATATGTAGTGACAATGTCGTTTCAGTTAGAGGATCTGATCAGGTCTAATTCTAATGGGGTCTGAAACAGGGTCCACAAAACATCTGTACTTCACAGTGAAATTTAGCTTTATTAGATTGCACAAAACACAGACAAAACACAGAAAACAAACCTAAAGAGAACAAAAGGTACAAAACATGAGTCACTTTTTTAAAATCCATTTGTCAGTTCCCTTATGTGCTGCACTGTTTCTCATAAGTTAGCCACTTTAACCTATCTTTAAAGGGTTGACTCCAGGTCCTGTTTATGCCTCTGTTCCATTTAAAGTAATACAATCAATCAGATAAGAGTCTCTGAGCGGCTGAATCAGGTTTTCCCCAGCAACCACTAACTAACTGTCCTTTTTAATTATGTGATGCTTTGAATCTTTGCATCAAGGTGATTTCCAGTTATGTCTTTAAGTCCATAATCGTGTGTTTTCTTGTCAGAACCTAATTAAATCCCTTTAGCAGTGGATCTCGTAGGCAACCTGCGATCCGAAGAGGAGGCTCTGACTGAGGAAAAGCTCCTCCGGGTCTGTTGTCAGGGGTCCCTCTCCTCCGTCTGCTGGGTTTCTGCGAAGCCCCATCCCCCCTGATCTGGTCAGTGTCTGCACCATTTCGTGGTCGAGGAGAGCGTCCTTCATGCTTTTCTGCTGGACGAACCCGCTCAACATGGGACACCTGGAGGACGCGGAACCCGGGACGGGCTTGGTTCTGTTGAGTACATACATCTCGTGGCCGTGGTCGTCGCGGTACTCCTCTAGCTGCGCAAAGGTGGTGGGTCCATCAGAGTAATCGTTCACGTAGAGGATGCTCTCTTCCTTGCTTGTACAGAAGGAGCCGCCTTCTTCTTTGCGGATCTGCTGGTGACGACTGTAGATCATGATCAAGAGGAGGACGGCGGTGAGTGCAAGCAAAGAGATGCCGACAGCGATGGCCGTCTGTGTAGCCGGTCCAAGAGCGTTGAAGTCCATGCTGTCCTGTTCATAGAGCGGCTCCTGGCTGACATCCAGAACCTCCGGCTGATAGAAGGAGTTAGATGAAGAGGAGACAAAGGAGTGCGTGTTGAAACGAGGCCAGAACTGGGATGAATACGAAGAAGAGGACATGTTGACAGCCAGATGAAAGGTGACTTTAGCTACACCTCCAGGGTTCCAGGCTTCACACTCGTAGCGCCCAGCATGTGCTACAGTAACATTGCTAAGAAACAGCATTCCGCTGCCCATGTCGGGGTCAAAGCTGTCCCTCTCACCGCCCTCCTCGGTCCCTCGCACAGGCCCCTGGATTCCTCCCACACCTCTGACCTTCATCCCTCCACTGGGCAGGGCTGTCACCACTCCTCCAGCACTCCCAGGCCTGAAGAGCTCACCATTGGGTCCCAGCTCTTGAACCAGTCCTCGAGGTGACAACTGGGGCTTGCCATGGGAGGCTTTCTTCCAGGTTACCTGAGGCTGAGGGTACCCCGAGGCCTGGCAGGAGACTCGCAGGCTTTCCCCTAGTCGCACAGTCAGGTGGCTTGGCTCCAACTGCACCACGGGGGGAATGCAGACCAGGCTGTTGGGAGCCACCTCCACCAAACTGAGATGGGACAGGCGAGGTGGTTCAGAGCACATCAGCCGGCGCTGTTCAGCAGAGCTCAACAGACGCTGGCCATCCTCTCTGATCCAAGTTCTCAGCCAGCCGAGAGCACAATCACAGCGCCACGGGTTCTCTGGAGGAGAGCGGTGGAAGAAAACAAGGGTGAGAAAATGTATTCAAGCTCACTATTGGTCAACAGAAATAGCTTTTTGCAAAAACTTTAAGCAAACTGAACAAACTCTAACTGCTCCTGGAGCTCGTGTTATTGGATAAAAACTGAATGGAAGCTGGCGTGATATTGCAAGGTAAGCATATTTAATGTGTTAAGTATAATTTAAACTTTATAAGATCGCTTTTGGCCCTTACTGCAGGACTCTCAACCTTTTTCAGAGGCTGTTCCTTTAATTTATTCTTTTTAATTGTGTCTTTGAGGGATTTTCTTTCTCATGAAAGGTTTATTGTTGGCTGAAACCTTTTGATATGCAAAATATGTTTGAGGGCACATCATTTTAATTTACATGAGTCTGTTGGATGTGACTGTTGCAATGCATTCTTGGGCAGCCTCAGTTCTCAAAAATAGTGAAGGCATTTATTTCAAGGGACTTTGACTTTAATTTAAATTCTCAGGATTCATTATAATGTCTGTCCTCGCTCTGCATACCTGTGACACGGAGCACCTGCAGGCTGACGAGTGGTTTGAGGGATAAGGCTCCCAGGGTGCGGAGGTGATTTCTGCTCAGGTCCAACAGGGCCAGGGATGATAAACCTGACAGAGCTTTGTCTGCCAGCAGCTCTATGCTGTTTTCCTGCAGGTGGAGTTCCTGCAGACGCTGCAACCAGAGAAAAAAGTCATGAATCAAAGGAAAGAAAATGGGAAACATGCAGGTTAAAGGAGGATGATAGGAATGTCAAATGTGAAGACAGGATGACTAAATTCCACCTGACTCAGTCTGTACTGTATTACAGTATGCCAGGGATTAGTAAAACATGTTGCCATGAATTGGATTTACAGTTGCACACGTCATTTTGTATAATCCATGACAGGCATCTGATATTAGACAGCACTAGCTTTGCTGAAAGCTAAGCTTTTACACTTAACATAAAAGGGATTAGTAGCTGTGGTTTTTGGAACACTGACAACAAAAGGAGCACAAAACATTACATCCCATCCAAACACCCATTCTTTCCCATCAGCTCACCAACCTGCAGTCCTCTAAAGGTGAAGTCCTGCACTCTGGTGATCTGGTTTCCAGCGAGGTACAGGATCCGAAGGTGCTCCAGACCCCGAAACATGTCTGCTGTGACCAGGTGGATTAGATTGCCATTCAGGGCGAGCTCCAGCAGCTGGCCCTGGCTGAGGAAGGCGCCTGGCTCCACAGCTGAGATGCTGTTATTCTGGAGGTAGAGGTAATGAAGGCTTCCCAGCCGAGTCAGGTCCTGAAGACGGATCTGCACGATAGAGTTGTCTTGAAGGAAGATGGTCTTTTGGGGAGATGCAAATAAAATGAGTCAAATGATCACAAATAAAACTGCTTTTCAGACATAAGGCAGGGGATGTGATATTTAAATTAATGCTTTGAACATGAACGTGGCCTTAAATTGTGCTGTGCTTGAAGTACTCATGAAACTGAACTTTGAGAGTATCTAATGGCTGCTTCCCTAGTGGGAAAAGCGATACAGATAATGGAATGGCCGTGTCCTGACGTAGTTCCAACTAAAACGGGATAGAACCAATCTCAATATAGAAGGAGGGACATAACGTTGGGATGCATTTTATTGGATCGTTAGCGCCAACAAAGCTTTTCAATTGGTCGAAAGATTCGTTGAGGCCCCTGAGTGCAGGATCAGCCTCTCAAGTACTTTTTTGTTTTTGTCTACCTGAGTCCTGGATGTTTTATGGAAATTTGAATTTTTTAGGTCAAGCTTGATTCAGTCTCATTCCTTCAGAGTCTTAGTCTTGTGTTGACCTTGGCACACTCTCATCTTGGTCGTGGCTTAAGTGGAGCTCACTACAACCCTGCAGTGGTTTAGCGGAAAAATGAACCAACCATGGAGAGAGTGTAAATTTACAACAGGCCAACTTCAGACATCTCTGCACCCTCAGTCTTTGCAGAGCTTTGAATATACAGTGTGTGAATTTACGAGTACAAACGATGTAGAATACGCCCGTTCAGGATTATTGTAATTATGACTGACAATGTGTGTTTCCTTCATTTTTCCCTTCCTGCGGTTCAGTTCTTCTTCTTTTGCCAAATGCAGCAGAACTCCCAGACCTTGTCAGCAAACAACTTCAAACAACAAATGTTCGAGTGATTGCAGCTACAAGAGAGCAAGTATTTGATCCATAATGCATAGCTTCTTTTGCTTGATTGCTAATGTGCATTCACTAGTGATGTTTTCAAAGAAGAAAACACGGGCCACAAGTTAAAGTCTGATCTACGAGATGGACCTGCTGATTGAGGTTAATGGAACAATTTATCCCGGACATGCTTTTCATTAATATTCATAGGCTGCAGTAATGTTGGGGGGCCTGAACCCGGGAGAAAAAGACGGTGTAATGTTAAACATCTTCTCGACAGATGATCAGAGGGTGTGTGAGAGTCACTTTCTGAGCAAGAATGAATAATTACACAGGCAACAGCGCAGCCCCTCCCTCAGGCTTACATCAAAGAGGGCCATGGTGAATTGATTAACCACAATCATTTCAGGGTAATAAGAATGGATCAGAGAGGGAGGGAAATTGCTACGAGAGCACTGATGCAGGATGGGCAGGTCAGCCGTAATGCACTGGCAGATAGTGCCCTAACTTATTTCCGATTGGCCAACTGACCTCTGTGGCCGATGGGACACCCTGTGGGATTTCTTTGACCCCAAGAGATCCGCACTCCACTGTGAGACTGTAGCAGCGGCAGCCGGAGGGGCATCCTAGAGACAGATGAGGGATGCAGGCCAGGATGATTAGGAGTCTGGAGAACCACAAGAGGACCATGGTGGTTTAAATGTCAATCCTCTGGGACAGAAACCTGCAAGGCAAGAGAAAAAAAAAAAGTAAGCATCTACCAACAGTGCATAGAAGTACTTCCTAAAATAGCATATTCACTTTACTTAAAGAGAAGTTTTTTACCGGTCATGAAACACAATGAAGTTAAACAAGACTGACTCATCTACATAGTTGTTTTTAAATGCCAATCACCACTGCCTGCAGTTTCTAATCAAGGAATTCACAGTACACATTTGCTTACAGCCTTGGTTTACAATTTCCTCTGCAAAGTGTCACAGTGTGTGGTACATTAGCGAGTTAAACAAAGTATGGATGAATAAGAATCTGCTGTTTTATCCAAAGAGGCTGCCAGAGTGGACACACATGGTAAAGGTTTCTAACAGCTACTTTAAGCAGTTTTTTACCTTTGCTGTAACGCCTCACTTTTAATACAAATCAGAACTATTTTATCCTTTGTAGCTTGGTGACAGGCTCCTTACTTTAGGTGGAACACAGTTGAGAGAAATCATTGATTGGTTTTATGTTTCAGCATTGCACAAGGCCTTCCAATTCATGCAATAAAACACAAAAGAGGTTCCTTGCCGTATCCATGGATACAGAATTAATTACACAGTACAAAAGTGACATGATTAACCCTAAACAAAAGGAATATCATGAGGAAATAGACAAGAGACTAAAAGATGTATGTAGTAAAAGTACCCAGTGACACTTTTAGAGAGTTTTCAACGTTGACATTTGGTTGAGAAAAGAATGAAAATCGAGTCGGTCTGTCTAAGACATATTTTCAACCATTTTTCAGCCTGCTAAAAATATGGTTATTATAACATCAACGTGTCATGAAACCCTTCTTTGTCTAATAATTCTGATAATTAGTTTATTTTAGCATTGAAGAGTTGAAGGATATAATGATTCTAGCACCATTCGTCCATAGTCATTTTACAGTGGCTGTGTGAAATCCTGTCTCTACAAAGACGTCATTTTAACCCATTTTATTATTCATAGAAAAACATTTCTAAAGTGCTTCATGGGCTGTGTGATGTCAACAAGAATGTCTAGAGACATTGTCAAGAGAACTGTTTTTAAAACATTCTCCACAGAGGAAGAAAAAGAAGATTGCGTAATCCATGTCGGTTCTTGAGCTGAACGGCTCTGACTACCTGGACAGAAAGACCTCAGGGTGCTGACGCAGACCCGACAGCGGGAGAGAGCACACTAGAAATGTCGGCGGCTGATGGTGGAGAGCACTGGACATGAATGCAGACAGTTGTGAGTGTGAAACCAGGTCTACTTCTATCTGTATTCTTGTTGTCGGTGACTGTGCTGCACTGCTCACTTTAAGCATCACTTCATCTGTTTTAGAGTAAGATGCATCATCATAAATGAATGTTGTCACAGAAGAAGATATCCCAGCAAAATCTGGAATCAAATAGATTCAAGATTCAAATAGTTATTTAAAAAAAACATTGTCTTTTGAACAACATTTCAACAGTAACCATATGTCTTTAAAAAGTAGTAAGTCAACAGAAGATTTCTGGCAGGGTTATGTCAGACAATGAAACCTGTGTGCAGGCATGCTGCAAAGACTGGAGAAGCAACACATCCTTAATTAAATCATTTGCTTAATGAATCTATCTATCTACACTGACACCAGACTTTTTTTTAATTTGTTAGATGTTAGAATGATTTAAGTCAAATAGTGTCTCAACATTAATCTTTACACATGAACAGCCTGTAGATCTAGATACTTTCCACCTTTCTCCCCTTTTTGTACTTTTCAGAGTATATGCTTTTTAAAAAAAACTTTTATCTCAATAAAAACTTTAATCAGTCCTTCTAGTTTACCAATCTTTGTGTCAAAGGTGTTTTCTATTTCTGCTTGAGTGTAAAACACATGTACCTTTCTAGCTCTGTTGATCCTTCCTCTTCGAGAAACAACAACCCTTTCCGTTACCGGGTAATGAATTTCAGCCTCAAAGCAAAGACTGCAGATATGTTGTATAACCAGATGACTGTGAAATGACAAGGGAGGACTGATAAAAAGCACCGCAACATAAAACTATCTTCCAATCCACGCCTGTTTTCCATTCAACTGTGTCTCTTCAGTGAAATTGCAACAGCTTCTATTATGGGCTTCAATTAATTAAAGATGTGATAAAAGATGTGCAGGTTGCCTCAAGGACCTCTCTCTCCCGTCTTTTTAATGTATGCGCAAACACACTCACACTCTCCCTCTAGTTCAGTCTCTCGCTTTTGTCTTCGAATCACACATGTGCGTGAGACAGACGCTGCGTTTTGACCCTTAAAGTGGGAGATACCTCCTCAATGCAAATCCCCAAGTGTCAACCACCACCAATCATCTGATCAAAAACATCAGCCTTGGCTGTTTGCTGCACCTTTCAGCAATATCTGTCTTTGATATAAACCCATCACTGAGCAAGTCACCCATGCTCTTTTTTTATTTCTATACAGCCTGGAAGGGATTTATTGTCTCGCTCGACTGTTCACATCAAAACAGCCTTAGACCCGCTGTCCAATATCATGTCGCCCAGCAGTGCTCACAACAGTTCATCAGCAGCAGATCGCATGGAGATACTGCAGGCCAGGAGATATAATACATGTTGAAATGTCACACTGAGCCCGTCATTCTGCTTCACTGACAGCAGGTAGATTTATTGTGCACCGCTGAGCTGCCCGGCTTGTTGTAGAGAATCTTCATCTAGCAGAGGAGCAGACATGGCATTGATCCCATCCAAAGACTCACATTGTTATAAAACATTCATGTGCAGCCCGACCATGCCTCCGTATCCCATTAAGCTTGTCTGTCTTGTGAGAATTTTCCTGTTTGCTTAAGATTGCAGAATCACCCAGAGAGATAATTGTGAGCGTTAACATCTCACTTTTTGAATGATTTTGAATCATGGAGTTATTAATTACTAGGCTGCACAAAGATCTCATTAGAGCTAAGTGATGAAAGGGTCCTGTGCCTGAAATAAACTGTGACTGATAAATATTCAGAGTGCAGGCAGTTTGAACTGTTCGGTCAGATTGATATCAAGCATTTCTCATTTGTACTGTTATAGTCGCGGGCAGTAATTTAAAACTGGAATGCAGAGCCACTAGGATCACTATTTCAGAGGCTGAGGAGTCGCTCTCAGTTCAGACACGCCACATTATCAAGCAAATGAGCAATGAACTGGATTTTTAATATGGCATGTTTGATTTAGAGCGCATTACAGGGAATAGCCAGCTAGATTAATACAATGTGACCTACATAAGCTGCTCAGTCGTCTTCTCTCAGCAAAAAACAGAGGCGCTTATTACTGTAACGAGAGAGCGCACCAAACAAGCGTGGAGAGAAATTATGTGTTTCTATTGTCGGAGAGAGAAAGCAGAAAAATGTAATTTTGAATAAGGCCTTGGTCTGTCATTGAGCTTTGTGTTACTTCCCACAGTGAGACAACTTTTAAAAACCTTGAGTTGCTTGGAAAGTGTCAGAAGGAAACCAGAGGGGAAAGGCCCTCTGCTCAGAATACATACAGAACAGGATGTGCAAACTCATATTTGTTGCTGGAGATGCACATCAGTGCAAATGACACCCTGCCAGGTAGAGAAAATAGCTGATGCATTTCGCTGCTCAGTTCAGTTCTACCATGTCTTTAAAAAGCCCGAGCGGCAAATCGTGCTGCGCGTTCAGTGTTACAACAAGGCTGATGAGATGTAGAAACACGGATCACCCGTAGAGTAAGCACATTTTGCAAACAGAGACGACGATGACTAAAATAAAACAACATTCAGGGGAGAGGTGTCTTTGAATAATGCTGCTGTGTCTGAGTTTTCTTTTTTTTTTTGTACAGTATGTGCTCTCCTATTTCAGATTCAGTTTACCCTCTCGCTTATCTTTTGTCATGCTGATGTGGGATTCCAGAAGTAAGAGGTCAATTTGTTCATTTCAGTCTCAGTAATCCTCTGTGGAACACGCGTAATCTGCACAATCAGATGCTCGTTAGCTGAGCCGCTCTCGGCACTGTTGACGTTTCCATAGAGGAGGGCTGCTTTGTTCTGTATTAAAAAACGAGGTCAGCCATGTGTCTGTATCGCCTGAGTATAAATGTGTAAATAGCCTGATTAGAAGTTAATGCTGTGTGCATAGACACAGTGTTAAAGGAGAGTGGCTGCAGAGACCTGCCAAGGCAGATGTCAGTCAACAAATCTAATAAAGTGCACATCACACAAAAGCCTGTTCAGCAGTCAATATCAGCGTCTCCCTCCTAACATGCGTCCACACACCGCAGGCTGCGACTCTGCAAACATGATTTTGCACCGGTTTCGCAGCAGCTGGGAGTTTGTTTATTTGGGTATTTCTGAAATTACAATTGCCTCTTTATTCTTGACATAGCGCTTTGTTTTCACGCCTCAAACAAATCATCCTACTGCTGAACAATCACAGCTTGCCTGGACAAACAGTGGCAGCACAGAAAAATTCAACGCGCACTGCTGTTGTGATTCTCTCTCTTTTTTTATTTTTCTGAGCAGGGTACGTGCGGAAAGGTGCAGCACACCGCCAGAATGCTGGAGGCAGAAGCAAAGTTCACATCCCTGTGCTGCCACCGGTGCAGGTTGGCCTCATCCGTTGTTATGGTAACTCTTGCTGTGAGGGAAGGTCTGTGCCCCGAAGGCCAGGCACAGTTTGTGTGAGCCGGTGTTAGGCAAACAACAAAAACGGAAATGGAAGCTGTCAGTTCCTGAGGAAAATTGCTCACGGGAACTTGAGCGATGTGATGACCCAAAGCTAAATCAGAATTTTTTTTTTTTTTGTATCCAACTCTACTTTTAACTTTTTTTTCCCACTCCCTCTGAAAGCCTCCATCATTTGCCCTTTCCCTTCCTCCTCCATCTCTGACCTCTTTCTTTTCTCATCTTGTGCCCTCTGTGCTGACTGACAGGCGCTAAATCATTTGTCTCAAAGCATCCTTTTGTCCACAAATAGACTCTGGCCAAGGCAAAAGGGAGAAGACTATGGCT